TTATTTGAAAGACAATTTTCCCAAAAGTTCAAGCCTGTACTTTTTTTGTCAAAATAACGTAACTGAACAAATTTTATCCCAGCATCTGAATAGGGTAACTGTAGGCTGGTGGCAGAATTATTTGCTGAATTCCAAAACGCACATATTCCAAAGAATGTGTGACAAATTCGCCTACCGTATTTCGTTGCAGCTTGTGTAAGAGACAAAAACGTAAGTGAAATGACCAAATTGAATGTCCAGTTTGAGCATGTTGACAGTGCACAACAGGTACTCCGAGCCCAGAGTGGATAGAATTCTGCGTTGAGTACCCATGGCAGTGGTGCGTATCCTGAAATTTTTCTGTCACAGCACCGAATGGTTTTCACTTTGAATGCATGTTCATCGGTTTTTCACTATTTGATTGTTAACATAGACAAATTATGAGTTTATTCCTGTATTTGTTGCAGCCACTGCGCTAACTTTAGTTGCTTCACAAGTCTTATTCCCTAATTGTTCAAAGAAAAAGTCAACACAGAGTTTTGCCTTTATCAGTTACGGCTAATATTTTTGAAGGATATTGCTCCAACCAAAACGCATCAGTACCGTAGAGCGAAATCCAAAAAATCCGTCTCATTAGTGTATCTAAAGATAGAAACACAGCGACAGTTCGAACTCGCTCATAATGCTACTTTATTAAGAGATACTTGAAGCATACCGCAGAGTAGTACCTTTGCGAGGCTAAATAGTATGCGAAGGGAACGCCTGAGAATCGGGTAAATTTACCCTCAGCACCACTACAGAACTACGCGGGTGCTGCAAATCCGAAGACCCCGAAAAATTAAAACATTATCAGCAAAATCAACAGTGCGAAGAAAGGGGACGACCAAATTGCCAGTCTGTGAGGCATTAAAATAGTGAGTGCCCAGACGCTAAAAGGGAGAAAAGCAAACTGGCAGGAACGAGTTAGAATAAAAAATTCCACAAAACCGTATGCATCTTACGAACTTTGAACGTGGACTTCACGGATTGCCCTGTTCTATTTTAGAACAAAAGAAGGCGGGAAGAAAAAGTCCAATACCTATAGAAAAGAATGCGAGGTAGAATATCATAACAGCAATGGGTATCCAGCTATATTTCGACGGACAGAACGAATGCTCCCAGTTTTCCATTGTTCCATTGCTGTATTCGCATGGTCCGGTCAGTGATTTTTCCGGGTTTTCATGTGCATACGGAAGACAATATCTGCAAATTCAGGCAATTTTTATCTTACAAAATCAGCTAAATGTGTTTGTCTTTAAAAGATCTGATTCAGTAGTTAAAATCATCTCCTCTTTCTCCTTTCTTCACCTAATTTACCTATAACATTGCAATTTAGGGTTATTCAGTTACTGGCCAAAGGCGATGAAGAAAATGAAATGTAACTGCCCTTTTCGCACTAATGGGCGCTGAAGCCACTGAGCGAAATGGCGCTCAAGTTATGACACGAAATTCATAAAATTTCGAATTCGCTGCATCGTTCACTGTCAAGTTATAAAAATCCTCCTAAGTCGAATACAGAGCAACCTGGAAACAGTTTCAATATTTCCAGCCTTG